TAAATTTTACTATATATACATATATACTTAATTTAGATCATACTTGCAAATTACATTACTTCTTATTTAATTATTACATCCATGAATCTATTTATTACTAGTACAACACCGTGTATTACACGGGTGTTTGTTAAAGAATTATTCTTAAAATTAATGAGAAAACTATATTAAATTTAGTTTACTTTTTTACAAAAAAATATATTACTATATCTTTTAGAATGATATGTGTTACTTATGACATACATGTGTTATATTATATTAATTTTTATAACTTATATCATATAACTACTTGAAATATAAATATATTTTTTGATAAATAATTTTATTTTTCTAATTAATATTAAAAATAATTTTATTATTGTTATAAAGATAAATATAAATTATTTTTTTATACATACAGTATGGATGTTAAATCGAAGCTCATCAAAAGGAGATTAATTTGATATATTACCTATGTAAAACTGATAAAAAATACAAAAGTTATTAACTTTTAAAATATATATTAAGTTCAATAGTTGTAATAAAGAATGATATTAAAATACAATTAATACATGTAACATGACCATAAATAATCAACATATTTATGGTAATCCGAACCTAATTATTTTTTGTTTGGAATTAAATTAAAATTTACCCAAGCCTAATAACTAAGCATGTAATTTTGCCACATAGGATTCCGAAGCACCAGAAGCAGCCACGTAGGCTCAGCGCATTCTGTATTAATATATAGGAGAATAGGAGATTATAAAATTACATTAAATTCATTTTAGATACTATTTTTATAGTATGATATCTGTTTTTTTTTTTAAGTAATTTAAGGTTTAATTAGTTTGAACATGAGAAATGTAAATACTTGAAAATTCGTTAATTTGAAATAGAAGAATATGCGTGTTTTGCAATTTCATAGGATTTAATGGAATTGCAATAAATTTTATTACTTTGAATTTTATGAGTCAAAAGAACTTAGAACACAATTTTTATATTACCAAACTTAAATGTTGTGCAATTTATTATTTATTTATCTGTTTCTAAGTGAACTTTACTTCTCATATCTATACTTAATGTATTTTAATTCTATTAAAAAAAATATATTCCCGTCTAAATGTCATTCGAATTGAGATCAGTCAAGTACCTTGTATTCAACATTGTGTTTGTCTGTTTATTAAATAAATAAAAATGTGAGATAAAATTTGGCTCATCAATTGAACCGTTTTATTAAATCTAAAATTTAAATTCCTAAATCCTAATTATTTTTTTTGCGAATACGACTATAAACGTCATCCGGTCCCTCCGTATCATAATCGGCATCCAATTGTTTAAATTCGTGTCGTTTAAGTTCGCCCTCAAATTTTCAAAAATCAAAATAACCTATATTCTTGAAATAGTTGATTCAATAACAGTCTAGTCCCTCCCAAATCATTTTTTATTTATTTATTTTTTTTTCTGAATCTGCACAATTACGTAATTCTCATTGGCATCTACACACACTCATTACCCATCAAAGTTTAAACCTTAGCACCAGAACCATTTATTGAGATTATACTTCTGCATACACTAAATTACTTAGTCATAGTAAAATAAACTGCACATATTATAATAATAAATTTGGAAGAAGAAGTTTAAATTATAAAGCGAAACTTAGTCACGGTAAAAGTAAAATGATATTCTTACGGTAAAAATTACTTGAAGTGAAATCAATCAACCTACATCGTATCAAAAATCCACTGCCTAGCAGTGCAAGTTAAGGCTACATGAATATACTAATAATAATAATAATGGTGGTGAAGAACAAAACAAAACATAAAAAAATGCAACCTCAATTTGACAAACTCAAGACTATGTAGTAAAGAGAGGAGATGCTACGGTACAGTTACGGAATCACTCCGTCGGGGTTTGCAACCGTTAGATCATCAAGTAACTATCAGGGATAGTTGATCTGGTTACAAACCCCAACGGAATGGTTCCGTAATGAGACGGTAGCATTTCCCAGTAAAGAGAGACACGTTTAACATAAAAAAAAACACTAGAACAGAGGACATTCTTTAACACACAAACAACCACCCATCCACCCACCCCTAAACACAAAAGCAGTCACTCAAGTTCCTCTTCCAGTTGAGTTCATCAGACGATGAGTCGAAAATCAGCAAAAAGTACCACCTATATAAACACCAAGGCTTAAGAACACAGTACTACACAGGCTATTCCATTATTTTGATATAACTCATTATGGCCAAGGCCATGACATTTTCACTTGTCTTTGCATTGTTGCTTTCAGTCCTTGTGCTGAACTGCCATGGCCAAGAAAGGAAGGCATGCATCTCTCTCTCTCTCTCTCTCTCTCTCTCTCTCTCTCTCTCTCTCTCTCTCTCTCTCAGAATTCAGAGTTTTTTTTTTCTTTTTCCCATTTTGTTTTTGGAAACAGTAGAAAATATTCATAGAGTTGTTGATGTTCGATCTTTTGCAGCTTTACATAGTGTACCTGGGAGGCCGGCCTCCGAATCAATCGGTTGCAAGAAAACATCATTCGATGCTGCATAAAGTACTTGGAAGGTAACATCCTAAGCATCGGCATAATATATGCATAATAAGTTGAATTATCAAATATAGATGGAGCAAGTAATGATATAATATATCTGAACACATATATACAAAAACCTGTGTGTTGCAATTCCAGTGCTTCATTGGCCAAAGACTCACTAGTGTACAATTACTGGAGAAGTTTTAACGGCTTCGCAGCCAAGCTGACTGAGGAAGAAGCTGCAACGATTTCAGGTGAGTTAATCTCGAACCTTAATATGATTTAAGGTGTATGTAAGTTCATACGTTGCATTAAGGGTTGCACAGGATATAAACATCAATCTTTTGATGTAGAAATGGAAGAAGTGATCTCGGTAAATCCCAGCCATAAATTTGAGCTTCACACGACCAGGTCCTGGGACTTCATGAATCTCACTGTGAACAAACTTGAACCTTCTACAAACTCGGACGTCATCATTGCCTTCCTAGACACCGGTAACTCAAATAACGAACTTGTTTCTTTCCAATTAATTAATGAGCTTGTTATTTATCGAACAAGCTTTACCCGTGCTCAATGTTGTTTTGCATCTCTTACACCTGCTTGTCCGTACGTAGGAGTTTGGCCGGAGCACCCGAGTTTTCAGGATAAAGGTTTCGGCCCTCCACCGATCAAATGGAAAGGGACCTGCATCACCAAGAATTTCACCTGCAATAAGTAAGATTTTCTCATTTTAATTAAAAAAAAAAAAGAAAACAATACAGTTGAAACAAATTTACAAACTTTCTTTCTCTTCTTCCCAACTCATTCAACCGGGCAGCAAGATTATCGGGGCCCGCTACTACAACAGCGACGATCTCTACCTTGATGGGGACATCCCGTCCCCACGGGACACTGATGGTCATGGGACCCACACGGCATCCACTGCCTCAGGCGTCCAGGTGGAAGGAGCAAGTTATTTCGGACTGGGCAACGGCACGGCCAGGGGCATGCCCAACTCGAGGATCGCGGTCTACAAAGTCTGTTGGATGATTGGGTGTGACTCAGCTAACATGCTCAAGGCCTTTGACGACGCCATAGCCGATGGAGTCGACATCATCTCGATCTCGTTTGGAGGTGGCTGGCCGCTTCACTACTTTGACGACTTGATAGCTATTGGGTCCTTCCACGCCATGACGCATGGGATCTTGACATTGGGCTCGGCTGGAAATTCGGGCACGGACCCCGCAAGTGTCACGAATTTCGCGCCGTGGATGCTCACGGTGGCTGCCAGCTCGATAGACAGAAAATTTACTTCCAGAATGGAACTAGGAAATGGTGAAGTCTATACCGTAAGTTACAAAAAATTATAACAAAAATTTAGAAAAGTAGGACTAAGGATCGATTGAATATATCTGTAAATTGGTTCTAACAAATCAAACTGGTGAGTAAATGCAGGGAATTGCTATCAACACCTTTGATCTCAATGAGACTTCATATCCATTGATGTGGGGGGGAGATGCAGCAAACTACACGGGTGGTTATAATAGGGACATAGCTAAATCCTGCATACATGGTGCCATGAACGCCAACAGAGTGTCAGGAAAAATTGTTTACTGCGAAAGCTTGGGGGATGGTTCAGGAATTCTGAACGCCAATGGTGCCGGGCTCATCATGGCCGATGTACTTTCATTCGACCAAGATGTGGCCTTCAGCTGGCCATTGCCAACGACGTTCATCAGCCCACAAGAAGGAAACAGAGTTCTCGAGTACATTAGAACCACAGAGTAAATGCTTTTCCCTTATCAATCATTTTTTTTTTTTTATCAATACTAGTCTAGATTCTTTTTCATCAAAATGATCTTTCCTCTCATTTCTTACTTTTAGCAACCCAGTAGCAACCATTTTCTACAGTGATGAATGGAAAGACGTCATGGCTCCAGTTGTTGCTTCGTTTTCTTCCAGAGGGCCCAACCCACTCTCCCCTGACATTCTTAAGGTGATAGCCAACAAAATATTCTCAACGTCAAGATACATTTTCCTCACCTTTGTGTACTTGTGTGTTAATCATTTTTTTTGCTGTGTGCCGCTTGATATGGGAAAAAAAATCAGCCTGATTTGACAGCACCTGGAGTGAACATTCTAGCCGGGTGGTCCCCCTCAGTCTCATCTTCAATCTATGATGGTGACAAAAGAAGCACGCTATTCAATATCCTATCAGGCACGTCCATGTCATGCCCTCACGTCAGTGGTGCTGCCGCCTACGTTAAATCTGTTCATCCCGACTGGTCACCTGCAGCCATAAAGTCAGCCCTAATGACAACAGGTTAATAGAGAAAACATATTCACACAACCTTTTTCACTCAATCAATTAGTCCTTATACAAATAAGTTGTCACTCAATCAGCTTCCGTCATGGACCCAAAAAAACACGAAGATCTCGAATTCGCATATGGATCGGGCCACATCGACCCCGTCGCAGCACTTGATCCGGGACTTGTGTTCAACGCATCGGAAGTCGACTACATCGACTTCCTGTGTGAACACGGCTACAACACCACCACCCTAAGGCGAATCACGGGGGACAAAAGCACTTGTGCGGGCACAAGGGCCCGGGATCTCAACTACCCCTCGTTCTCTTTATACGTCCAAGATGGCCAAACCATCAAGAAAACCTTCACCAGAAAGGTGACGAATGTTTGCAAGTCAAACTCAACCTACACCGCCAGCTGGCACGTACCTGCATCATCCATCATTGTCACGGTCAAGCCGTCCATTCTCACCTTCTCGGATTATGGGGAAACCAATACATTCACGGTCAGCGTCTCGGGTCCCGCCATCTCGCAGAAGCCGATCGTGTCGGGAGCAGTCATGTGGACAGACGGGACCCACGTGGTGAGGGTTCCACTCGTGGTCTATAACTACATCCAGGGTACTCCTAACAATCTCGGGGTAGCTCAGTCCATGAAGGTACCGGCCCGCCAAAAGTCCTCGATTTATCAGAAGGTTGAAGAAAAAGGGAAGCAGTTGAAGTCCCATGGGTGAGGGGAGAGGAACCAAGCTTAGGTTTCTTATAACTCCTGATGCTAAACTACGCATTTTAATATTGAAAATAAGTTTCAAGTAAACACAAATGCTTGTACATGGAAAACTATAACATAGATGATGTAAATAATAACCAAAAACGCGATTGAAAATCTCATTTCACTTAATCAGTGTTACCTTTCATACAACAACAAAAATAAACAAAAAACAAAGCAACTCTGTTGTAAATGGAACAAACATGGCACAGATAAAAAAATAAGATCACCCCATTCAACTCATGAAATTCTCAGACTCTCAAACCACCGGAGTCTTTTGGTTTGGCTTGAACACATATTGAACGAGGGATTCCTTAATGGGCAAGAGTTCGGGAAATTCCTTCTTCAGTTTGGAGGCATCGAGCTCATTGTTACTCCTGGGGGCAACAATCACCTTAGCCTGCTCCTCGAGAGTGAAGTTGGCCCAAGTGAAATTAGGATCTATGTACTCACGGTACATTTCCAGAATCTCATTATGGCTCACGACTCCTGGGTTTGTGAAGTTCCATATCCCAGTGAGGTTTCTCTTAGCCATCTCGATGGATATGGGAAGAAGCTCGTCTAAGATGGTCATGGAGTTGGGGATGTCCACCACCTTCTCGTACCTTGTGATCTTCGTAATGAAATTACGAGGATTTGACAGATCGGACGAGATGGGCATCCGGACCCGCAGTGTGCAGACATTCTCATAATTATTCAGTAAATCCTCAACCTGACAATGAAGGTGTTTGAAAGAAAATTGAGATCAGTACCTAATGCGTTAAATATATAGATCAATAAATTGATGAGTGATAGGAATTTTAGTTTGGATTTATAGTGGCTATATACTAATGCATCTCACATATTGATGAAGGGCAAATGTTCAGAAACCATTCATTTCGACATATCTGTATTGAACCTACAACAATCAATGCAAGCAAACACGTAAGACAAAGAAAATGCTAAAATTGGCAGGAAACTAAGTCTAGAGGTTTAAGGACCACCAGCTACTCCAAGTAAAATGCTACAAAGCACACAAGGTTACACCAAAACCAAAGTATTATGCAGAATGGTGTTGAATGTCCAAAAATGAGAAAACTTTACATAGCCCATCCTAGGCACAAAAACAAATGTCAGCAAACAATTATGGCAAGCATTCGTTTAATTTCTTGTGGTTATACAAGCGGTAAAACAAATTAAGTTTGAACAACCAGTGAAACTTTAGCGGACATTGAAGATCATATTCCTGCATATAATCATAGATATAGGATTAAATCTAAACCATCAGCCTCCAAATCAAGATTAAATTTCGAGATATTTCCATCACCACATTATTTAGCAACACCTAGAATCAGCAATCCAACACTATTTCATAATCATCATCAAGAAAATCAGAGCAGATCTTAAATCATTAAACAGTAAAAGGTCGATCTTTCAAGATCAATATAATGATAGGTAAAATATAGTAAGGAGGATAACCCCACCATTGCTTTGGTCTTGGAATAAAAGGATCCGATGAAATTGGGCGTGTCCTCCTCCTTGAACCCGATACCCGAACCGAGCGGGTGTCCGGCGTCGTACTCAAAGATACAGCCCGTAGCGTAATTAACCAGCACCAGAGACTTCTCCCGGCACACGTCGGCGAGCGTCAGCGTGCCGACAACGTTAGTTCGGATCGTCTCCACCTTGTGGGACTCGCACCAGTCGACGTTGGGCCGCCCCGTCACGCCGGCGGCGTTGAACACGTGCGTGGGCCGGGCCGAGGAGATGTCGGCCTCCAACGAGGCCCGGTTCTCCAGTCGCCCCGACCCGTAGACGTAGTCGATGTTCTGGGCTTCGCAGAGCTTGCCCAGAAGCCCGCCAATCCAGCCCGTGCGGCCGTAGATCAGGAACTTGAGAGACTGAGCTGATGAGCCGTTCTCGGTAGCGCCCATGGCGGAATCGAATGTGTGGGGGAAAATAAGAGTGGTGGGTGAGTGTGAAGAATTTTTCTCTAGGACAAATGATGAGTGAATGTCAGTTGATATATATAAGGAAAAAATATTTAGCTATTGGCACTCCAATTTTCACAAATTCTTCAACAGACCTCCTATTAAGTAGATCGATCCCCTAATATAATTTTCACATTATAATTTTCGAATGTGATCAGTCTACGTGGTTGCTTCAGAATTTAATTGGCGAAGAATCATGCTTAATAATTAGGTTTGGACAAATCATATTGATATATTAATAATTAATGATCTAAATTCGAACATTCCATAAATATTATTTAACTAACTTAAATATTTTAATATCACTTATATTAATATAACCATTTAATTCTTTGTAATTTTACGTAACAAAAATGTATATTTAAATTGCAAAATGCTATAGTTTGTCTGTGTTGGTTTGGCTATTTTTATAGAGCAAGACATTTTAGCTTGAAAGTATCCATACTATATATATGTTTTTTGTCTAACTATTAGACTTGTATAAACTAGAAAAACTCTAAAATTTTCTTTACATAAATATCACCACGAATACTCGCATGACTCGGGTGCTTTATTTTTTTAAAAACAAAAAAATTAAGTGGACAAAAATAAAATTAAAAAAAAAAAAAAGAGTGGACCAAAACAAAACAACCGTATTCTCAGAATACGTTTTCTTAAAAAAAAAATTAATCAAGAAAACGTATTCCGAGAATACGTTTTTTAAAAAAAAAGGTAAAATGTATTTTTTTTAAAAAAACGTTTAAAAAAAAAAATAGGCAAATAATAATTAAAATGTATTTTTTATAAATTGTATTTTGAAAATACGTTTCACGAGAAAAATATTTTTTTTTAAAAAAAAAATAATTTTTTGTTAAACCGTATTCTGAGAATACGTTTTACAATTAAACTGTCGGTAAACGTATTCTCAGAATACGTTTTTCACGTTTAATATTATAAAAAAAAAAATTTCTTCCTCTCCATTTCATTCACGAACAGAAACCGAAAAAAAAAAGAGAAGGAGAAAGTTCTTCAAATTTTTTGGAGATTGAGAATTGGTATAATATGTTTGAATGTGGTTGTATTTGAGGATTGAAAATTGCTAATTGTGTGTATGTTGAATTGAGGATTGAAATTTTGTGTGTAAATTGTCGATTGTGTATTGTTTGGTTGTTGTTGGTTGTTGTTTTTCGAAATTAGGGTTAGAATTAGGGGTTTCAATTTATCCGAATTATAGATGAATTTTATGTTATTGTTGGATTATGAGTTTAATGGTTTTGGATGATTATTTGATTGGGGCTATTTTTTGTTATTTTTTATTTTTTGTTGGAGAGTAAAAATTTAGTTTTTTTGGAAAAAGAATTGAAAGTGTTTATTTGCAACAGGTATAAAATGGCCTATCCCGGTCCCGGTCCATACCTTATTAATTTGTACTGGCATTTTGGGAAGGAAATGTTAAACGATTTTGTTTCATTTAAAGATCGTCCGAGTGGTTCATTTATAATTCCGGGGAGGATATCATATGAACAGTTGGTACAGATGATTGATAAAAAATGTCAGTTTGAAGAAGGTTGGACAATTCAGGAGATTACTATGATGATTAGCCAACCTGATGGTTCGTGGAATCCCGCAATACTCAATAACGATAGTTTTGAATGGATTTATTACTTTCCTAGTATGTCCATGGTGTATTTGCATTTATCGTTGCAGGCAAATACACCCGTTACACAGTTTGAGGATTTTACTCCTTGTTACGGGGGAGTGTTTGATGTCGAGGGTACATCGACTTCTCATGTACCTAATTTTGGAGAAGGGACATCGAGAGAATGAGCGGCGGATGAGGACGATGAAGATTTTATTCCCGGTGAAGATGACTTCACAGACGAGACCTCAGAAACCGAATCAGATAGATCTGTTAATGAGGAGAGTGAAGCCGAGTTCATCGAAGAAGAACACCCATTTCCTATTGGTGGTCGGCACATATACCGCGAGATGGGTGAATGAACCATTTTCTGATACGGATCCAACCCTCGGAATATCGAATGAACCATTTTCTGATACGGATCCAACCCTCGGAAGAGGTTTGTACCAACCAAGCCAAATTCTTCAGCAGGATAATCATCAAAGGAGGGATACTTCTTTTGGAAAAGGGACGATTGAAGTCAACTCAGTACAATTGAAGTCAATTTCATACAACTGAAGTCAACTAAGTACAATTGAAGTCAATTTTATACAATTGAAGTCAACTCAGTACAATTGAAGTCAATTTCATACAATTGAAGTCAACTAAGTACAACTGAAGTCAATTTCATACAATTGAAGTCAATTTCATACAATTGAAGTCAACTCAGTACAATTGAAGTCAATTTCATACAATTGAAGTCAACTAAGTACAATTGAAGTCAACTCAGTACAATTGTAGTCAATTTCGTACAATTGAAGTCAATTTCCTACAATTGAAGTCAACTCAGTACAATTGAAGTCAATTTCATACAACTGAAGTCAACTAAGTACAATTGAAGTCAATTTCGTACAATTCAAGTCAATTTCATACATATGGTATAATATAACCCTAAACTAAACCCTAAACCCTAGACTCTAAACCCTAAACCCTAAACATATGGTATAATATAACATAGTAATCTAATAACATATAGTAGTATATTACATATGTTATATTTGTTATAATATTATATATGTTATAATATAGGGTAGTTTATAATATAGGGTAGTTTATATTACAAATGTTAGGGTAGTTTATAATATAGGGTAGTTTATATTACAAATGTTATAATATAACATACTATGTTATACTATATAGTATATAATAACATATATTATATTATATAACATATGTTATATTATATACTATGATATAATATAATATAACATATAGTAGGGGTTCAGCTGGGTTTCAGCTGTCCTGGCCGGGGTCTATAGAGGGCTCACCTTGACCGCCAGAACCGGGGAAATTTTCATCAAGAACTGTGTTCAATTGATTCAGGTAAATAAATAAATGTACTTACTTGTTATTACTTCATTCATTTGTTATCCTAATATATATTAACCAAATATTTATGTCTATATCTGTAGGTTTGGGCATGGGAACGTATCCCTCGTATTAGCCAAAAATGAGGGATACCAACTTTGACAGAGTCCAAGGTTGTCCTTTAGGAGCAAGGTAATCACATTTATTTATATTTAATACTTAAAATGTCAAATTACTATAAAATTTTGTGATTAATATTTTTGGTTTTTTTTTTATTATTTGATTTTTAAGGTGGGTGAGACGGAGGAATATGAAACACATCGGAAAGGGAACAGCCGCTATCCGAGATCAATTAACGTGGCTGACAGAGA